TGTTGTCAATGGCTCTAGTTCGCATGGGCGTCAAGGAACACCTTCGGGGCGACGCGAAGAAGGACGCGGCTGCCCTGATGTTCCCCGATGCAGGCGGGGAATATTCGCTTGCGGCTGTGGAAAAAGAAACACTGGCAGCGATAGAATGCCATGTGGTGATGATGATGGCGCACAACGATTCTGGCCTCTGGCGGTGATTCGCAGCCTCTGGCGCGAACCGGCATGGGGGGCGGCCGCTGGGGCGGCTGCTGGGGGCGACCAGCATTCGGGGTGTCTGGTCGCGATGGCGCAGGCTCGGGACAGCGGCAGCGCTCGATTCTTGGGGCACTGAGAGCGGGGCGTCTCGGTGAGCCTGCGCGCGGACGTCGGCGAACGCGGCGCGTGCTTGAACCGCGCCAGAGAAAATTACACCTGTTCGTTTTTCCGCTGAGCGTTTCTCATCGTGCTTCTGTCAGATGTCCTTGTCGGGGATGTTCCAAGCAGCCGCTGCTGCCGCTACTTTTACAGCTACTTTTACGAGTGCTATTACTAGAACCAGTACTACTCCGAATACTACAACTGCGACTCCGACGAATATTACGTCTACTAAGTTAACTACTACTACTACTACTACTACTACGACTACTACGACTACTACGACTATTGATACTACTGCTACTACCACTGCTACTACGACTACTACTACTACTACTACTACTACTACTACTTCTACTACTACTACTACTACTACTACTACTTACTACTACTACTACTACTACTACTACTACTACTAGTATTGCTACCACTACTGCTACAATTGCTACGGCGACTGTTACTACTACTGCTACTAATGCTATGACTGCTACCACCAGGGCTACTGTTACTGGCACCCCGCAGCTACATCAACTTAGCGTGGCACTGCTACCGCTACCGGTGTTGACGTTGCTATTAATGCAACTGGAACTGCTACCAACACAACTGTCACTTCCAGAGCTACTACAAATGCAGCTACTACCACTACTACGGCGACGACAACGGCGACGACGACGTCGACGGCGGCGGCGACAGCGACGACGACAGGGAGGGAAACGACGACGGTGACGACGACGCCGACGACGGCGGCGGCGGCGGTGCGACGACGACGACGGCGACGGCGACGCCGACGACGACGACGACGGCGGCGACGGCGGCGACGGCGACGGCGACGACGGCGACGGCGGCGGCGAGGGCGACGGCGACGGCGACGACGACGGCGGTGGCGGCTGCGGCAGTGGCGGCGGCGGCGGCGTCGACGACGGCGATGACGACGACGACGACGACGACGACGACGACGACGGCGGCGGCGGCGGCGGCGGCGGCGGCGGCGGCGACGCTTATTGTAATGATTTTGGCCTTGGTGGACCGGGCAGGGGAGCTCCACCGAAGGCCTCAGTGGCAGGGTTCGCATGGCGGCCTCGGGCCATTTCGGCGCACCCCTCACGAGGACCGTGGCCCCATAAGGAGCTCCACCGAAGGCCCCAGTGGCAGGGTTGGCATGGCGGCCTCAGGCCATTTCGGCACACCCCTCACGAGGATCGTGGCCCCATAGGTAGCTCCACCGAAGGCCCCAGTGGCAGGGTTCGCATGGCGGCCTCGGGCCATTTCGGCACACCCCTCACACGGTTCATAGCATCACAGGGAGCTCCACCGAACGCGGTACCCACCACGCGGTGCCCACCACGCGGCCCCTCGTCCATGGACGACGGCAAGGGCCGAACCCAATCCTCAACAATATGAAGGGTCACGGTGAAAGTGACCTTCTTCCAGATCCTGCCCTCGGTGTCGCGAGTGGAAGTGCCAGCGCGTACATCGTGAGAAGGGCATCCTTCAACCACGCGTGGTTGAAGGATGCCTTTCTCACGATGCATCCGGCCATCTCGAGGGCGAGGTCTCGAACGGTAGCGCTGGGTTTGTTGGGGCGGCGGCCTTCGGCGGCGAGCAAGAGCACCAGCCTGAGTAAAAAAGGAGCAGGTCTCCAGCGGGAGCGTTGTTGTCGGTGGGGGGCCGGCTTTGGCGCTCCCCCAAAACGCATGCCCGCGACTCGCTGCGCCGATGCGAGACCGCCAGTGCAGTCCCACCCAGGGGTAAAGCACAAGGAAGTATCGAGCGACAGGATTGCTTTGGTGGGGAAGGGAGCTGTCGGCTCCGAGGCAAAGACCTGGCCCTGACTAGAAAGGGAGGAAGTCTCGAGCGGGAGCGTTGTTGTCGTTGGGGGGCCGGCTTTGGCGCTCCCCCAAAACGCACGAGCGTGAGCCCTATTTTTCAATGAGCACGTCGCCAGCGCCGAGGCCAGAGCGTCCAAGCGCCGGGGGGGGGTCCAACAATGCGCTGGTTCTGTTGGGACGGCGGTTGTCGGCGGCGAGGAGGAACACTGCCTCGAGTAAGATGGGCGAACATCTCGAGTAGGAGCCGCAGTTTTGTCGGGGCGGGGGCTGCCGGCGGCGAGGAACAGTACCGTCCTGAGGAAAAAGGGAGGAGGCCTCGAGCGGGAGCGTTGTTCTTGCTGGGATCGGCGCCACTTCAAAAGAGAGTATCCAGCGTAAAACGGGAGGAAGTCTCGGGCTGGACCGATGGTTTTGTCGGGACGGTGGTTTTCGGCGGCGAGGAATCTCTAGCGGGAGCGTTGTTGTTGCTGGGGGCGGCGCCGATGAGAGAAATCGAAGCGCGCCAGTCCAAGGTAAAACGGGAGGAAGTCTCGAACAGTAGCGCTGGGTTTGTTGGGGCGGCGGCCTTCGGCGGCGAGCAAGAGCACCGGCCCTGAGTAAAAAAGGAGCTACTTTCGAGCGGGAGCGTTGTTTTTGGGGGGCCGGTTTTGGCGCCCCCACAAGCCACTCGAACGTGAGCCTTATTTTCATTGAAAAGGTAGCCGGCGCCGAGGCGAGAGCATCAAGGCGGCTGGGGGGTCCAACAATAAGAAAAACATCAAACAACACCAACAACACCACCAACAACAACAACCGCACACAGTTTAAGGCTGTTCGTTCCTATCTGATCGCCCGCCACTCAACAGGTATGGCCCAAACCCTCGGTACCCGCCCTCTTCATCTTCGGTAGCCCCTTGGGAGTCTATCTTCCTGACCTGCCCCTGCCACGCGCATGCAGCCCCCCAAAAAAGAGAAGAGAGGACGAATGGAACGGGGAGGGAGAGGGATGGAGCACGAGAGATTGATAGGAGGGGGGCTAGGACAAGATAACACGTGGCAGACCCAGACAGACAGATGATGATCGGGCGGGCAGGCCCTAGCGGGCGGGTCAGGGAAGGCGGGCCCAGGCGGCCAATTCGAGCAAACGGGCTGCTGAATCGCGAGTCTCGAACGATGGCGCGATCCCCAGGCAAACCGTGCGAAAGGCCCAAGCGAGAGCGTGGTTCCTGAGTGTCGGAGCGCGGCGTCTGAATACATTGCGAAGACGTCCCACGCGAGAGCGCGATTCCAGCATGAATTGTTAGGGGGTCCCGCGCGAGAGCGCAACTCTGGAACAAGTGGCACGAGCGCCATGGCTCTTGCACAAAAAAGAAGGGGGAGGGTCGGGGGGGGTGGGGGGGCGTGCCGAAATAAAAGAGAGGTCGGGGCGGAGGGGCGCGCTGGCTGGTGAGTGGGTGGGATGCGGAGGGGGCGCGCTGGCTGGTGGGTGGGGGGGATGCGGAGGGGGCGCGCGGGGCGCGCGGGGAGGGAATGGGGGCAGTGCCGAAATAAAGGGGTCGCGGGGCGGATGGGGGCGCGCTGGCTGGTAAGTTGGGGGATGCGGAGGGTGTGTGCCGTGCCGAAATAAAAAAGGGTCGGGGCGGAGGGGAGCGCTGGCTGGTGGGTGAGGGGATGCGGAGGGAGTGTGCCGTGCCGAAATAGAAGGGGTCGGGGCGGAGGGGCGTGCCGTGCCGAAATAAAAGGGGTCGGATGGGCGCGCTGGCTGGTGGGTGGGGGGATGCGGAGGGGGTGTGCCGTGCCGGAATAAAGGGGTCGGGGCGGAGGGGTGTGCCGTGCCGAAATAAACGGGTCGAGGCGGAGGGGCGTGCTGGCTGGTGGAATGTGTGGGTGATGGAGGGGGTGCCGTGCCGAAATAAAGTGGTCGGAGCTGCAGACGCCCTGTGCATGATAACAAATTCTGAGGAAGTATCAGACGGGAGCCGTTGTAGTTCGGGGCCCAAAAAAGCAGTTTGACCAGGAAAACGTCTCTTGCTAAAAAACAGCCGGCGAGCCACGAGGGGGGGCACTTTATGAAACATCATCTTTTAGTTAAGAATGACATGTGCACCGGTGGGGGGGATCAAACATGTTTGGTGTCCGTTCCATGGGAGCCTGCGTGGCCCCCGGCACTGTCTAATTTGGGCCTGATTTGGAACAAATTTGGGCCGGATTTGACCCAGACTTGGACTGGATTCGTGGGGCTAGGAGAACGAGGAGGCGGAGGTGGAACAGGAGGGGAGAGGAGGAGCAGGAGGATGGGCCAAATGCGGTCCCCACGCTGTCCACATGCAGGAAAAGCTGATTTCAATGTCGCGACCCAAGGCTCCCATGAAAAGACATCGAGAACATTATGTTTTCAAGGATGCGAAATTAAAAACAGCAGCAACAGCAACAACAATCCGAACCGCAGAACCTCAAATCTGTCACGCGGCCCGGGGCAGTGAATGACTGTTCGGCCCTTTCACTCTGATATAAAGCGATAGAGAGACGGAGAGAGAGAGAGAGAGAAAAAAAAAAAAAAAAATAAAAATAAGAAACACAATGAAAGACAGAGAGAGAGAGAGAGAGCGATACATATATATATATATACACACTAGAAACACGCGCGCGCTGCGCGCGCGCTTTGGTTCTAGCAAGATGCGGCGACGGTCTAGGGTTCGCAGCATCGGAGCGCAGAAAGACTTCTATCAATCATGATCAATCAGCAAGCCGTACCATCCCTCTATGCCCCCACGGATGCACGCCATGAACCCCAGTCGACCTTAATCCTGCATTCTCCTCTCAGCAAACCCTCTCAATCCCTTTCCTGTCCACACCCTTTTTGGCGGACCAATGGAATCACATTCCACGCGGCAGAGGAGCCGTTGCGGGCGCGGTGGACGAATTCCACTCGGCATGCAACGCGAAAAAATATGTTCGTTGTCGACGCGGTGGACGTGTTCCACTCGGCGTGCAACCATGAAACATACAGCTGGCCGCAGGTCGAAAAAGGATTCCGCATGATCCCACTTCAGCTGCCTACATACCCTTTGTTTCATTTCCAGAGGGGCGCCTCGAGAAAACAACTCACACACGTACAGCAGCAGCAGCTCGTGTGTCCACCGGGGGGAGGAGGGGGGGCGGGCCCCAGTGCTTAATCCACCCGGTTGAAACAGCCGCTTTAAGCAGCCAAGATCTGGTCTTTGGGGAGGAGGGAGCGGGGGCCCGCGCCGATCGGCGAAACAAGACATAAGAAACAGCTACGTACCTCTCAAGACGGCTCAATGGGCCCGATTTCGGCACACCCCTCACGCACTCTACGCCTACCCAAGGCCTAGACGGCCCAGAGCGTCCAAGACCCACCTCGAGCAAACCCAATGTCACCTGCCCAATGCCTGCCCACGAACCCCTAGGCCTGTCCAAGGTCAGCCCGACAGCCTACCCAATGCCTGCCTCAGGCTTACCTGGCGGCCTTTCAAGAGCTGATACATGGCCCCCCAGAACCCAGTGAAGGCCCGCACACGACCTAGCCAAGGCTCATCACAAATTTGCCACGTCCAAGATCTACACAAATTTTACGTCTAGCGAACCACATGCGAGCGCCATAACGAATGTGAACACCCAAATGCGCGCGATCACCGTGCCCGCGCTCGTCTTACAACCGCCACGAAAATCTTTACAACGATGGGCTGTCGTGAAGGGTTCTATGGTGCGCCCACCTTCGTCGTGCAACCACCGCGCAAAATTTGCCAACACTGGGCCACCCTGAAGGTTTGAACGGTACGCGCCAAACAAAAATCGACAACGAACTAATCGATCCGACGGTCACCCCAGTACCGCGGCGACTGCCGGGATTGATCCAAGTATTCGCTTCCTTCGTGGCGGCCCTGGAAAAAAGGACACCCACCTCAGAAAGCCAGCGTCTCGCGTTAGATTTCCCGAATGCTGACCGCAAGTGGGCAAATGTCCCACCCCGTGGTCGCTCCCCATTGTGGCGCCCAGCAACGTCTGTTGCGAAATCGCGAACACCACGCGGCCCTGAAAAAGACGCGCCTACATCCGTGAAACAAGCGAACCGCTGGAGACATCCCCACAATCTGGGCACGAACCGGTAAGTGTCCTAATTATCCCCTGGCGGCACCCCCTTGTGTTGCCCAAGTGCGAGGCCTGTCACATCGCGATAATTCTGATCGTGATATGGAAAAGGAGGGAGTAGGAGGAGGAGGGCGTGAGTAGACGGAAGCGCGACACGGATAACAAGAATTCACGACGCAAAACACGGAAATAAACACCGCAACATACTCCACGAGACGTGCAACTGCCTGCACAATGATCCGTTGTCACCGTCGCACCCTTGCTCCGCACGCGTTCGACGGAAACTGGTGGCAATCAAACTGGCCCAATCTGCCAGGGCATCGCTCGTGGGGGGAGGGCCTCCTCGCCTCGGGCTGCTCTCCCGCAGCCGCGTCCCGCCGTCGACGGCGAGCGCGCGCCTTGTGGGTGCCCTGACCGTCCCGGGCGGCCGCCGCAGGCCCGAACGTGCGTTTGATTCGCCCATGCCGTCCAGCCCGCCCATCTGGGCATGGTTTTGAATGCCCGGAGCCAACTGTAGGCTACTTCGTGGTCTTCGAGTTTCCAGAACTCCATTCCTGGGCATGATTTTGAATTCCCGGAGCCAACTGTAGGCCACTTTGTTCTCTTCGAGTTCTCAGAACTCCATTCCTGGGCATTATCTTGAATGCCCGCAGCCAACTGTAGGCCACTTCGTGTTCTTCGAGCTCCAAGAACTCCATTCCCGGGCAACAGTTTGAATGCTGAGGCAGGCTGATGCTGAGGCTGGGGCAGGCTGAGGCTGAGGCAGGCTGAGGCTGAGGCCGAGGCTGAAGGCAGACTGAGGCTGAGGCTGAAGCAGGCTGAGGCTGAGGCTGAGGCAGGCTGAGGCTGAGGCTGAGGCAGGCTGATGCTGAGGCAGGCTGAGGCTGAGGCTGAGGCTGATGCAGGCTGAGGCTGAGGCAGGCTGAGGCTGAGGCCGAGGCTGAAGGCAGACTGAGGCTGAGGCTGAAGCAGGCTGAGGCTGAGGCTGAGGCAGGCTGAGGCTGAGGCTGAGGCTGAGGCTGATGCTGAGGCAGGCTGAGGCTGAGGCTGAGGCTGATGCAGGCTGAGGCTGAGGCAGGCTGAGGCTGAGGCCGAGGCTGAAGGCAGACTGAGGCTGAGGCTGAAGCAGGCTGAGGCTGAGGCTGAGGCAGGCTGAGGCTGAGGCTGAGGCAGGCTGATGCTGAGGCAGGCTGAGGCTGAGGCTGAGGCTGATGCAGGCTCAGGCTGAGGCAGGCTGAGGCTGAGGCCGAGGCTGAAGGCAGACTGAGGCTGAGGCTGAGGCTCATGCAGGCTGAGGCTCAGGCTGAGGCTGAGGCTGAGGCAGGCTGAGGCTGAGGCTGAGGCAGGCTGATGCTGCGGCAGGCTGAGGCTGAGGCTGAGGTTCATGCAGGCTGAGGCTGAGGCAGGCGGAGGCTGAGGCCGAGGCTGAAGGCAGACTGATGCTGAGGCTGAAGCAGGCTGAGGCTGAGGCTGAGGCAGGCTGAGGCTGAGGCTGAGGCAGGCTGATGCTGATGCTTATGCTGATGCTGAGGCTGAGGGTGATGCATGCTGAGGCTGAAGCAGGCTGAGGCTGAGGCCGAGACTGAAGGCAGACTGAGGCTGAGGCTGAAGCAGGCTGAGGCTGAGGCTGAGGCAGGCTGAGGCGGAGGCTGAGGCAGGCTGAGGCTGAGGCTGAGGCTGAGGCTGAGGCAGGCTGATCTGAGGCAGGCTGAGGCTGACGTCGAGGCTGCAGGCAGGCTGAGGCAGGCTGGGGCTGACGTCGAGGCTGCAGGCAGGCTGAGGCTGAGGCTGAAGCAGGTTGAGGCTGAGGCTGCGGCAGGCTGAGGCTGAGGCCGAGGCTGAGGCAGGCTGATGCTGAGGCAGGCTGAGGCTGAGGCTGAGGCTGATGCAGGCTGAGGCTGAGGCAGGCTGAGGCTGAGGCCGAGGCCGACGGCAGACTGAGGCTGAGGCTGAAGCAGGCTGAGGCTGAGGCAGAGGGACAGAGGGGCTGCAAGCGCTAGCAGGCTGAGGCTGAGGTTGAGGCTGAAGGCAGACTAAGACTGAGGCTGAAGCAGGCTGAGGCTGAGGCAGGCTGAGGCTGAGGCTGAGGCTGAGGCTGAGGCTGTGACTGCGACTGCCGTTGCCACTGCGACTGTCATCGCGAATGCGACTACGACTGCGAGAACAGCAGAATTCTACAACTGGATTCTCATCTGAATCTTAAGGGAAATGCTTCCAGGTATGCTCCTACACTTCGCTGTTAGGCTGCTTTGCCGGGATAATTGTTGATGTTGATCCTGTCCGCCTCGAGGCCAAGGTCCAGCCTCAGAGCACGGATGAGCCGCACACGCACACTACTTCGCACGGAGATGGTGCGTCGCGGTCGCGCAACGCTCATGCAGCAAGATCGAATGATTGAACAGTGCTGCAACTTCAGCAGGCAACGGTTTCTGAAAGATACAGCAGCGTTCACACTTGAGGAGGGGACAGGGTGAAGGGAGAGGGAGAAAGATGATGATGTTGATCCTGTCCGCCTCGAGGCCAAGGTCCAGCCTCAGAGCACGGATGAGCCGCGCACGCACACTACTTCGCACGGAGATGGTGCGTCGCGGTCGCGCAACGCTCATGCAGCCAGATCGATGATTGAACAGTGCTGCATCTGCAGCAGGCAACGGTTCTGAAAGATACAGCAGCGTTCACATCGAGGAGGGGGCAGGGTGAAGGGAGAGGGAGAAAGGTGATGATTTTGATCCTGTCCGCCTCGAGGCCAAGGTCCAGCCTCAGAGCACGGATGGACCGGCCGCGCACGCACACTACTTTGCACGGAGATGGTGCGTCGCGGTCGCGCAACGCTCATGCAGCAAGATCGAATGATTGAACAGTGCTGCAACTTCAGCAGGCAACGGTTTTTGAAAGATACAGCAGCGTTCACACTTGAGGAGGGGACAGGAAGAAGGGAGAGGGAGAAAAGTTATGGTTTTGATCCTGTCCGCCTCGAGGCCAAGGTCCAGCCTCAGAGCACGGATGAGCCGCGCACGCACACTGCTTCGCACGGAGATGGTGCGTCGCGGTCGCGCAACGCTCATGCAGCCAGATCGAGTGATTGAACAGTGCTGCATCTGCAGCAGGCAACGGTTTCTGGAAAGATACAGCAGCGTTCACACTCGAGGAGGGGGCAGGGTGAAGGGAGAGGGAGAAAGGTGATGATTTTGATCCTGTCCGCCTCGAGGCCAAGGTCCAGCCTCGAGCACGGATGGACCGCCGCGCGCGCACACTACTTCGCACGGAGATGGTGCGTCGCGGTCGCGCAACGCTCATGCAGCAAGATCGAATGATTGAACAGTGGCTGCATCTGCAGCAGGCAACAGTTTCTGAAAGATACAGCAGCGTTCACACTTGAGGAGGGGGCAGGGTGAAGGGAGAGGGAGAAAGGTGATGATTGTGATCCTGTCCGCCTCGAGGCCAAGGTCCAGCCTCAGAGCACGGATGGACCGGCCGCGCACGCACACTGCTTCGCACGGAGATGGTGCGTCGCGGTCGCGCAACGCTCATGCAGCAAGATCGAATGATTGAACAGTGCTGCAACTGCAGCAGGCAACGGTTTCGGAAAGATACAGCAGCGTTCACACTCGAGGAGGGGGCAGGTGTTTCCCTTCTTGGGCCTCTCTTGGGGCCGTCTTGGGGCCCTCTCGGGCCTTCTTAGGCGCCTCAGGCACCGCCTTGGGGCCCTCGTGGGCCGCCCAGGGCCCTCTTGGAAGCCTCTTCGGCTATCTTGGAGCTGTCTTGGAGGCCTCTTCCTCCTCCTGGTCCCCCTCCTCCTCCTCCCACTCCAGCTCTCTCTCCTCCTGATCTTCCTCCTCCTCCTCCTGCAGCGTGTTCCGGAAGGCTCCCGCTGGAACATGCTGTGCACAAGTGCTGTCACTGCTCCCACCACAGTGCCCTGGGTGGTGGGTCAGAGGCCTCATGGGTGTTGGTTTGGATCTCGTGGTTGGCCTGTCGGGGACGTCGTGAAGGCAGTTTCGCAGCTTCTCGGTAGCCGTTTTGGGACCGTTGTGGGGCCTCCTCGGGGCTGTTTTGTGGCCTCTTTAGGCCTCGTTTGGGCCTCCTGGGTGCCTCTTGGGGGCCTCCTGGGGCCTCTTGGGGGCTCCTTGGGGCCTCCTGGGGTACTCTTCAAGCGGGAGGGTCGAATTTTGGAGTCGTGGTCCCCCTCTTTGGCGCATCTTGGAGCCGTCTTGGGGCTCTGTTGGGCTGTCTTGGGCGACTCTGGGGCCGTCTTGGGGCCCTCTTGGGCCGTCTTGGGGCGCTCTTGGGGGCCCATTGAGCCGTCTTGAACGTCGGACAGCCGAAAAGGCTGGAAGGCCAAAATCGTTAGAAAACCTTAGTAAAATTGACGATTTCGGCCTCTTGAAGCGCTCTGGAGAGGCGTCTTGAAGCGTCGTGGGGTGCCTTGGGGGGCCTCTCGGGCCGTCTTGGCCCTATCTTGGGAGCCTCTGGAGGCCCTCCTGGACTTTTGGACCTCTCCGGCCGCCCCGTCCTTCCATGGGGGGTCGGAGGCGGCGGCCTCCGAGGCCAAGGACGCGGAAACCTTTTAAAAACATGGGGAAAATAAGCCCCGGTACCCCCATGGAAGGTCGGGGCGAGTCGGGGCAGCTGTTTTCGGGCACCGGGCCTCCTGGGTGCCTCTTGGGGTTCTCCTGGGGCCTCTTGGGGCCCCTTTGGAGCCTCCCGGGGCCCTGTGGAGGCGGGAGGCTCGAATTTCCGGTTCGCGGTTCCCCTCTTGGGGCCGTCTTGGGCCTCTCTTCGCCCGTCTTGGGGGCGACTCTGGGGCCGTCTTGGGGCCCTCCAGAGCCGTCTTGAGCCCCTCTTGGAGGCCTCTTGGGCTGTCTTGGGGCGTCCACGGGGGGCCTTTGAGCCGTCGTGGAGCGTCGGAAAGCTGAAAAGGCGGGAAAGGCAAAATGTATCCAAAACCTTAGTAAAATTAGCGATTTTGACCTCGTGGGGCCCTCTGGGGGGGCCTCTTGGAGGCCACTTGGAGCGTCTTGGGGGCCTCTTTGGCCGTCTTGGGCTTATCTTGGGCATCTTGGGGCCCTCTTGGCGCCCTCGTGGGCCTCCACTGAAGTAGTGGACCACAGTCCACGCATGCCAATCTGCATTCCGAAAGGCCTTCGAGGAAAATGGTTGTGTAGGGGGGCGGAGACCGTGTGAATCCGGTTCCCAGAAGGCCTTCTGGGAGCATGGGTTTGGGGCGTCTTGGGAAGCCTGTTGGCGCGTGCAGTCGTCGTCGTCGTCGTCGTCGTAATGTCATCGTCGCCTGTTGGGGCGCGCTGTCGTCGTCGTCGTCGTCGTCGTCGTCGTCGTCGTCGTCGTCGTCGTCGTCGTCGTCGTCGGTTCAAGAGGGCACTTGGGGCAACTTTGTGCGAAACGATCTGCGGAGAGCCGCGAGAGGGCGATCAGTCATGTTCCCAATCAACTTCCCAGACAGCTCTCTTGTAGCATGGTAATTCGAAGCCTCCGGAGACTCGCGGGCCCATGATGAACCATGTCCCCGGAAGGCTTTCTGGGGACATGTTTGCTGGGGTGTGTTGGGGGGTCTCTTGGGCGTTCCCTGGGGGCCCCTCTGGGGCCTCCGGGAACTCTCGGGCCCATGGTGAACCATGTCCCTGGAAGGTTTTCTGGGACATGATTTCTTGGGGTGTGTTGGGGGGCCTCGTGGGCGTTCCCTGGCAGCCCCTTGGGGGTCTCTTGGGGCCTCTTGGGCGCCTAAAGGGGCTTCGTGGGAGCCTCTTGGTGGCATCCGGGGGCCTACAGGCGGCCTCGAGGACCAGAGACCTCGAAATATCGGTTGGCGGTCCCCCTCTGGGCCCTCTCTTGGGGAGCTCTTCGGGCACAATTGGGTTGTCTGGGGAGCCTCCTGGGCCGTCTTGGGGCCCTCTTCGGGGCCTCCTGGCCCGTCTTGGAGCGATCTGAAGGGCCTCCGAGCGAGGCCGTGAGGGAGCGCTGGGAAGCGGGGAAAGCGAGAACGCCTAAATCCTGCAAAAACCATCGGATCATTAGTGAATCTTGCCTCCCAAGGCCCTCTTGGGGAGCCTCTTGAGTCCGTCCTGGAGCGTGTTCGAGTCCTCGTCGGCCGTCTTGAGGGCAGCTTGGGCGTCTTCGGGGCCTCTTGGGACCGTCTAGGGCCTTCTCGGGACCTCCATTAGCATGTCGTGGCCTGCTTCGGGGCGGGCCTGGGCCGCCTCGAGACCCCTCTGGGCCTTCTCTTGGCGCGCTCTTGGGGCACACTTGGGTTGTCTGGGGAGCATCCTGGGCCGTCTTGGGGCCCTCGGCGGGGCCTCGTGGGCCTTCTTGGAGCGATCTGAAAGTCCTCCGAGGCCGTGAGGGAGCGCTGGAAAGCGGGAAAAGCGAGAACGCCAAAATCTAAAATATTCGGAAAACAAGTGAATCTTGCCTTCCAGGGCCCTTTTGGGGAGCCTCTTGAGTCCGTCCTGCAGCGTGTTGGAGTCCTCGTCGTCTGTCTTGAGGGCATGTTGAGCGTCTTCGGGGCCTCGTGGGACCGTCTTGGGTCCTCTCGGGACCCCCTTAGCCTGTCGTGGCCTCCTTCGGGGCAGGCTCGGGCCGCCTCGGGAGCTCTGGACCTCCCCCCGCAACCCCTGGTGGGCACCGATGGGGGGAACAGGCAGCGGCCCGCCCCCCCTCCCCCCCCCGGGCCTACTCCGAGATAGAGAATCATGTTCCTGGGAAGCTTTCTGTGAGCATGATTCGTTCGGCTCTCTAAGAGGGGGGCCTCTGGGGGCTTACCGAGGGGCGCCTTTTGGCCTTGTCGGCAAACCTATTGGAAACATGGTTGGGGCGGTGGGTGGAAGCCCAAGGAATCATGCTCCCGGAAAGCTATCTGGGAAATACGATTCACCGAAGTGTCTTGGGGTCCCGCAGGGGGCTTCCCTGGGGGTCCCTTGGGGGCCTATTGGGGCTTCCGGGGGACCTCTTGGGAGCCTCACGGAGCTTCTTGGGAGCCTCTTGATGGCCTCCAGGGGCGTCCTAAGAGCCTCTCAGGCTGGAGACCTCGAGATGTCGCGCTCTTCGGGCCCTCTTGGGTCGCTCCCGAGGCTCTCTCGGGGCGCTCTCGAGGCCCTCTTGACTTATCTGGGGAGCCTCCTGGGCCGTCTCTGGGCTTTCTTGGGAGCCTCTTCGTCTGTCTTGGAGCGATCTGAAGGGCCTCTGACGCAGTCCGGGACCGTGGGGAGGCGGAACACGGGAGAGCGCAAGAATGCTTCAAAAACCTTTTTGGAAAATTCATGATTTCCGGCTTCTGGGGCCATTTGGAGGGGCCTCTGGAGGCGCTCCTGGGGCGTTTTGGCGGCGTCGTCGGCCGTCCTGAGGCCATCTTCGGCGTGTCGGGGCCTCTGGGGGCTGTCTTTGGGCGTCCTGGGAACCCAAGAGTAATGTTCCCGGAGAGGCTTCCGGGAACATGATTTCGAACGAGGCCCTCTTGGGCCTCCCTGGGGCCGTCTTGGGGGCCTCCTGGGCTGGCTTTGGGGCCTCTTGGGCGGTCTTGGGGGGGTCCTTGAGCCCCACAGGACGACCCTTTTGGGCCGTCTTGGGCCCTCTTGGGTCTCTCTTGGGCTGTTTTGGGGCTCCTCGGGGGCGTCTGGGGCACTGCGAAGACGAAGCAAGGGAGTATGCTGAATGTGTACGTTTTACTACGGGGACGGGCTGATTTGTGCCTCTTGAAGGCCCTCTTGGGGCCCTCTTCGGCCATCTTGAAGCCATCTCGGGCCCTCTTGGGCCTCGCTGAGGCTGTCCTGGGGCCCTCTAGAGGTCGAAGGGGCCCTGGGAGCCCAGAAATGTTCCCGGAGAGGCTTCCGGGAACATGATTTCGAACGGGGCCCTCTTGGGCCTCCCTGGGGCTGTCTTGGGAGCCTCCTGGGCCGGCTTCGGGGCCTCTTGGGCCGTCTTGGGGGGTTCGGTGAGCCCCACAGGCCGACCCTTTGGGGCCGTCGTGGGCCCTCTTGGATCTCTCTTGGGCTGTCTTGGGCTCCGCGGGAGCGTCTGGGGCACTGTGAAGACGAAGCCAGCGAGTATACTGAAAACACAGCTTTACGATGGAAAAAGGCCAATGTTTGTCTCTTGAAGGCCCTCTTGGGGCCCTCTTCGGTCAATGAAAATCAACGATGTTGGCTTGTCGGCGCTCTCTTGGGAGGCCTCTTTAGATGCCTTCGGGGCCTCATGGAGCTCTCTTGGAACGTCTTCGGGCCTTCCTGGCCATTCCTGAGGCTATCTATGCGCGTCTTGGAGCGCTCGCGGGCCGTCTTGGACGGTCTCGAACTGTTCCTCGCGGTCCCAGGGGCCCTCTGGGACGCTTCGGACGCTCCTGGGGGCGCCCTGCACCCCCCATGGAGATTACTGGCAGCGCCCCGGGCCGCCCCCGGGCCCTACTCCGATATATATATATATATATATATATATATATATATATATATATGTATATATACATACATACATATATATATATGTGTATATATATATATATATATATATGTGGGGCGATCTAGGCACTGGTGCGTGGGAAAACGTGGCGCTCGAGCGCCAAAGGGTTGGGGCTGCCATGATGTAGTCGGCTGTCCTCTTCAGGAATGTAGCCGCAACCTTACAAGAAGACTGTGCCGCATGTGTCGGACCAGACTAGGCAGTTACTGATGCTATGATGGGAGCGAGGAGGAGGGAGGGAGCTTATAAGAAGGCCTCAACCTCCGCGTCGTGCTAGATCTCCGCGACCTGCTGCGACTCATTGTCCTCAACTTCCGCGTTGTCAATGCCGCGCTCGGGTGTTGGGCTCCTGCCACGGCCAGGACATCCGCGCGTCACCAGGCAGCCCAGCGCGACGCCGCAGACCAAGAACAAGATCAAGACACCAGCGACGACTACAATTAATCCCCATGGCTCGGTGGTGGCTGTGTTGTTTGACGTGTCCGAACTCGTGCCCGTATCGGTGGTCGTCGTGGCCGTCTTGGTGGTCGTCGCGGTGGTCGTCTCAGTTGTCGTCGCGGTGGTCGTCTCAGTTGTTGTCTCGGTGGTTGTCTTGATGATGGTAGTAGCGCTTGACGTCGCGGAACTCGTGCCCGTATCGGTGGTCGTCGTGGCTGTTGTCTCGGTCTCGGTGGTGACGATGAAGTCGAACACGTACGCGGCGCCAGATTTGTCGCCCTGATCGTCGTCATAGTAGGCCCCCACCACCACGCGGGCCCCGTCGGAGCTCACGGCCACCGAATTACCAAACTTGTGGTATTCGGTCCCATCACTCGCCACAAGCTTGAGCAGCCTCTCGCCGGTGGTACCGTCGAACACGTACGCGGCGCCAGAGTTGTCGCCCTGGTCGTCGTCAGTACTGGCCCCCACCACCACGCGGGCCCCGTCGGAGCTCACGGCCACCGAGACACCGAATCTGTCATAAGGGGCCCCATCACTCGCCACAAGCTTGAGCAGCCTCTCGCCGGTGGTACCGTCGAGCACGTACGCGGAGCCAATTGTTTCGTCACCAGTGGCCCCCACCACCACGCGGGCCCCGTCGGAGCTCACGGCCACCGAGCAACCGAACAAGTCGGCTGGGGCCCCATCACTCGCCACAAGCTTGAGCAGCCTCTCGCCGGTGGTACCGTGGAGCACGTACGCGGCGCCAGTATTGCTGTCGTCACCAGAGGCCCCCACCACCACGCGGGCCCCGTCGGAGCTCACGGCCACCGAGATACCGAATTTGTCCGAAACGGCCACATCACTCGCCACAAGCTTGAGCAGCCTCTCGCCAGTGGCCCCGTCGAGCACGTACGCGGCGCCAGAACCAGAGGCCCCCACCACCACGCGGGCCCCGTCGGAGCTCACGGCCAACGAGACACCGAATCTGGCAAAATTGGCCCCATCACTCGCCACAAGCTTGAGCAGCCTCTCGCCGGTGGTACCGTCGAGCATGTACGCGGAGCCGGCATTTATCCCCTGGTGGTCGTCACCAGAGGCCCCCACCACCACGCGGGCCCCGTCGGAGCTCACGGCCACCGAGATACCGAATTTGTCCGAAACGGCCCCATCACTCGCCACAAGCTTGAGCAGCCTCTCGCCAGTGGCCCCGTCGAGCACGTACGCGGAGCCCGCACGGTCGTCGTTGTAGTAGCAGTCAGCCCCCACCACCACGCGGGCCCCGTCGGAGCTCACGGCCACCGATTTACCGAACCCGTTGTAGGCGACCCCATCACCCGCCAAGAGCTTGAGCAACTGCGCGCCGCTGGTAGCCTGCCGCCTGCCGAACTCGGCCTGCGGCTCGCGAGGGCGACCGCTTGCCGAGCCCTCCAGCCTCGGGCGGGCCAGCGTCCCGCTCGCCGGCGATCTGGCGCTCGGGGCGCCGCGCGCTACCAGCAGCAGGAGTAGCGCGCCGACGCTGTGAGACGTGCAACGGCGCATCATGCCGTCTGCTGATGTGCAGAGCTGACAGAACGAGAGACGCCCGAAGGGAGCCTTGGGAGGCCGGCGACGGTCCCTCGAAACCTTGAGCCATGTGTGTATATATATATATACATATATTAGAACCATCGCGCGCGCTTCGCGCGCGCTCAGGTTCTAGCCCAGGCCAGGGGCGCGCTTGAGGATCTTGGACAGCGCTATCAAGCACAGGCGCGTGACATAGTCGTGCCTCCTGAGGGCCTCTTGGAAACCTCTTGGGTCTTCGTGGGGCATCTGAAGGGCTTCTGGGGGGCCCTCCATGCTTCCTCAATTGGCTGTTACAGGCACATCTTGGGTGCTTCTCGGGGGGCATCTTGGGGCTTCTTGGGGTCCCTTGGGGGCATCGTCAAGGTTCTCCGGGCAGTCGGAAAGTGATGCTCTGCAGCCTGAAGCAGACAATTTGCCGTCTCGGCTGCGTAGAGGCCCGGCTTGAGGCCACATTGGGGCAATCTGGAAGCCTCCAGGGGCCTCCTTGAAGCAATTTTGATTGGCCCCGTGTACGTCTCCTGTGAGCCTTTTGGGGCCTGGTGGAGGGCTTTTGGGGGCCTCGTCGAACCACTTGGGGACTCTTGGGGCCTCCTGTGGGCCTCTTAGGGCGCAAGGCTCTGCTGTTGGGTTCGCGTTCACCTTCTTGGGGCTCTCTCGGGGCCGTCTTGGGGCCCTCTCGGGCCGTGTTGGGCGCCTCGGGCACCGTCTTGGGGCCCTCGTGGGCCGTTTTGGGGCCCTCTTGGAGGCCTCTGCGGTCTTGGGGGACTATTGGGCCGTCTTGGAGCGTGGGGAAGCCAAAAGGCTGGGAACTTAAAAATCCATCAAAAGCCGATGGGAAAACATTGCTTCTTGGAACCTCTTCGGCCTTCTGGGGAGCTTCTTGAGGGCCTCTTGGGTCCCATTTGGGGGCCTCTGGGGCTTCCTGAGAGCCTCTCGGGGTGGAAGGCTCGGATTTTCGGTTCGTCTTACCCCTCTTGGGCCCCCCTTGGGGCCGTATTGGTGCCCTCTCGGGCTGTCTTGGGCCCTGTTGGAGGCCTCGTGGGCTATCTTGGATTGGTCTTGGAGGCCTTTTGGGCCGTCTTGGAGCGTCAGGACGCCAAAAGGCTGAAAACTCTAACATCAATCAAACACCTACGGCAAGACATGGATTTGTGCCTCTTGGGGCCTTCGTGGGAGGCCTCTTGGATACGCTTCGGCCCCCCTGGGGGGGCTTCTTGGGGCCTCTTGGAGCCTGTTAGGGGCTTCTCGGGGCCTCCTGAGAGCCTCTCGGGATGGAAGACTCGGATTTTCGGGTCGTGTCAACCCTCCATCTTGGGGCCGTGTTGGGGCCCTCTCGCTCCGCCTTGGACGCCTCTGGCGCCGTCTTGGGACCCCCGTGGGCTGTCTTGAGACCGTCTTCGAGGCCTCCGGGGATGCCTTGGAGCGGAAATTGAAGCCTCTTGGGCCGTCGTGGGGCGTCAGGAAACTCAAAAGGCGAGAACTCGAAAATAAATCATTATAGCCGGAGTGCAGTATCCCCAAACAGGGTTTTTAGACCCACTGCGGTTTCCAAGGTCGATTCCGTGCCCGTCCAGTGCGGGCTGGCATGGCATGTTTAAACACGCCTTCTCCTCCTCCTCCTCCTCCTCCTCCTCCTCCTCGTCCTCGTCCTCGTCCTCCTCCTCCTCCTCTTCCTCCTCTTCATCCCGAACGGCATCTCGGAGCCCAGAGTTGCGAGGATGTCTCCAGCGTAACGGGCTGGACCACCTCGCGCGCGGCATTTCGGACCCCAGAGTTGCGACGATGTCTCGGGCGAAACGTGCTGCGAGGAAGTCTCAGGCGAAACGGGCCGGACCACCTCGAGCGCGGCGTCTCAGAGCTCCGAGTTGCGGGGGGGGCCTCCTGGGACCTCCTGGTGACCTCCTGGGGCTTCCTCCTGGGCCTCCTGTGGCCTCCTGGACCCCACCTGGGGCTTCCTGAAGCCTCTTGGGGCTCCCAGGGGGGGATATCTAATATGTGGCCGTCGGGCCCCCCCAAAATGAGGGGGGGGGGGCACAAGAGCAGGAAAAATCAACGAATCGACACCGGATGTGTATTAACTTGACACGTTCTGAGAGGGGGCCTCCTGGGGCCTCCTGGGAGCCTCCTGGGAATCTCCTGGGGACCCCTGGGGCCTGTCCTGGGCGTCCTTCGGCCTCCTGAAGCTCTCTGGGGCCTCCTCGGAGCCACATGTGGTCTTCTGGGCCCCCAGGCTGGACCACCTCTTGCGCAAGAGTTGCGAGAATGTCTTATGCGAAACGGGCCTGGACCACCTTGCGAACGGCATCTCAGAGCTCAGAGCTGCGAGGATGTCTCAGGCGAGATGGGCCGGACCACCTCGCGCAGGGCATCTCGGAGCCCAGAGTTGCGAGGATGTCTCCAGCGTGACGGGCTGGACCACCTCGCGCGCGGCATTTCGGACCCCAGAGTTGCGACGATGTCTCGGGCGAAACGTGCTGCGAGGAAGTCTCAGGCGAAACGGGCCGGACCACCTCGAGCGCGGCGTCTCAGAGCTCCGAGTTGCGGGGGCCTCCTGGGGCCTCCTGGGACCTCCTGGTGACCTCCTGGGGCTTCCTCCTGGGCTTCCTGTGGCCTCCTGGACCCCACCTGGGGCTTCCTGAAGCCTCTTGGGGCTCCCAGGGGGGGATATCTAACATGTGGCCGTCGGGGCCTCCCAAAATGGGGAGGGGGCCAAAAGAGCACGAAAAATCAACGAATCGACACTGGAGGTGTATTAACTGGACACGTTCTGATAGGGGGCCTCCTGGGGCCTCCTGGGAGCCTCCTGGGAATCTCCTGCGGACCCCTGGGGCCTGTCCTGGGCGTCCTGCGACCTCCTGAAGCTCTCTGGGGCCTCCTGGGGCTCCCAGGGTCCCAGAGGGGATATGTAACATGTGGCCGCTTGGGCCCCAGGCTGGACCACCTCTTGCGCGGCATCTGAGAGCTCAGAGTTGCGAGAATGTCTTATGCGAAACGGGCCAGACCACCTTGCGCACGGCATCTCAGAGCTCAGAGTTGCGAGGATGTCTCAGGCGAGATGGGCCGGACCACCTCGCGCAGGGCATCTCGGAGCCCAGAGTTGCGAGGATGTCTCCAGCGTGACGGGCTGGACCACCTCGCGCGCGGCATTTCGGACCCCAGAGTTGCGACGATGTCTCGGGCGAAACGTGCTGCGAGGAAGTCTCAGGCGAACGGGCCGGACCACCCCGAGCGCGGCTTCTCAGAGCTCCGAGTTGCGGGGGCCTCCTGGGGCCTCCTGGGGCCTCCTGGGGCCTCCTGGTGACCTCCTGGGGCTTCCTCCTGGGCCTCCTGTGGCCTCCTGGACCCAACTTGGGGCTTCCTGAAGCCTCTTGGGGCTCCGGGGGGGGGATATCTAACATGTGGCCGTCGGGCCCCCCCAAAATTGGGGGGGGGCCACAAGAGCAGGAAACATCAACGAAACGACACCGGATGTGTATTAACTGGATACGTTCTGATACGGGGCCTCCTGGGGCCTCCTGGGAGCCTCCTGGGAATCTCCTGGGGACCCCTGGGGCCTGTCCTGGGCGTCCTGCGGCTTCCTGAAGCTCTCTGGGGCCTCCTGGGGCTCCCAGGGTCCCTGAGGGGTGGCCGCTTGGGCCCCCAGGCTGGACCACCTCTTGCGCGGCATCTGGGAGCTCAGAGTTGCGAGAATGTCTTGCGCGAAACGGGCCGGACCAACTTGCGCACGGCATCTCAGAGCTCAGAAATGCAAGGATGTCTCAGGCTAGACGGGCCCGTGTCTCAGGCGAAACGTGCTGCGAGGAAGTCTCAGGCGAAACGGGCCGGATCACCTCGAGCGCGGCGTCTCAGAGTTCCGAGTTGCGGGGGCCTCCTGGTGTCTCCTGGGGCCTCCTGGGGACCTCCTGGGGCTTCCTCCTGGGCCTCCTGTGGCCTCCTGAACTCCACCTGGGGCTTCCTGAAGCCTCTTTGGGCTCCCAGGTGGGATATCAAACCTGTGGCCGTTTGGGCCTCTTCAAATGGAGAGGGGGGCACAAGAGCAGGAAGAATCAACGAATCGACACCAGATGTGTATTAACTTGACACGTTCTGACAAGCGGCCTCCTGGGGCCTCCTGGGAGCCTCCTGGGTATCTCCTGGGGACCCCTGGGGCCTGTCCTGGGCGTCCTGCGGCCTCCTGGAGCTCTCTGGGGCCTCCCCCTCCTCCTGCCTGCTCCCTCATGCACATCATCCGCCTCCTCCTTCTCCCTTCCATCCTCCTCCTCCTCCTCCTCCTCCTCCTCCTCCTCCTCCTCCTGCACCTCCTCTTCATCCCGAACGGCATCTCGGAGCCTAGAGTTGCGAGGATGTCTCCAGCGTAACGGGCTGGACCACCTCGCGCGCGGCATCTCGGACCCCAGAATTGCGACGATGTCTCGGGCGAAACGTGGCGCGAGGAAGTCTCAGGCGAAACGGGCCAGACCACCTCGAGCGCGGCGTCTCAGAGCTCCGAGTTGCGGGGGCCTCC